TTTCTGTTGATATATATGCATTGTTTTCCAGTCTGAATATCGGCTCTCTCGTCACGTCTGTCGCAGATACACTGACCTTCCTATCTGACCGCAGCGACAGCAGATCACACACTTAACCAGACGCTTAACCAGGACTAAACCTGCATTAACTGAGACTCTTTTATTTAAATCAGCATCTACTGTAGTGACATCCATTCAACAAGCACTATCATCATCTACAAGAAAACCGTTTAAAATAATTTCATTAAATAAATAACTAAGAATTGAAACAATAGAGAGTGTTTCTTAACCTGCCCAAATAAACTACCCATCAGTAAAGTACTAGTTTATTAACACTAAACCCAACATATTTTCCTTTGACTTAATATTATTGGAAACCATTCAATATCAAATATCATTCTTAAAGTCGTTTTAATAATCATAAATAATTACATATAAAGTGTATATATGAAAATGTATATATTTGCATATATATATTATAATGTTGTATATAATAAATATACATAAACAGTCACTTCAATAATAATAATAACAGTTTCTAAATCCCTGATATATACATTTGAATTGACTCAAATTATAATATATATATATATATATATATATATATATATATATAAATTACGATGTTGTATATATAGAAAGTCACTTCAATAATATTAAAAAATACACAGTTTTAATGTGAAGGCAAGAAAACTTTGATGTGCAGCTTAAAGCAAGAAAAACGATGCAAATAAAGTGAGAAAAACGAAAACCAAAGACGTCCGTCTGTTTAATGTTGATCGTAAGATGAAAATATCCCGTGAACACGAGAAGCCCATCTGCTCCATCACTCGCGTCTTCACGTGACTGGAGGTCAAAGGTCATCTGTTGGTCCTCCGGCTGTTTGCTGAGCCGAGCTTCTGAAGGTGCTTGAATCCCGCTTTAATGAGCTGATGGCGTGAGTTTCCTCCTCCACATCTTCGCTCAGACCATTCACTGATTCGCTTTTAACTGTTGTCTTAACGCTCCTGCAAACAATAGCCAACGAGGACCAAAGCACAAGGGAGAGTCTGCAGAAACAGGGCGACCGCGGCGTCGAAAACATCATTAAAATCTGAGGCGTCCCAGAGCTGGTCTGCTTTCTCACAGTTCAGCTCTCTCCATGAAGATGAAGCTTGTTAGCGCACAATGAACATGTTTCTTTCGTGGGTCCAGCTCAGAACTCAAGAGACACTCCTGATTCACTAACAAACGACTCTTTTGAGTCTGTAGTTTTCAGTTAATCAAAAGAGGAATTGCTTGGATGTGAAGCGGTGAATCCTTCACAATCACTCCAGGAAGACGAAAGAAGAGAGTCATTTTGATTTCAAGTTTGATTTCAAGTCTGAACACAGTCTCTCTGCAGTCAGTGACTCTGAACTATCAGACGAGAGCTGATGGAGAACCATCACTAGAAGATCTTCACTGGACGAGCTGGACTCAAACTGGGCCACACGGATAGTTCCCATAAAATGAAAATGTAGTCATTATTTTCTCTCTCCAGTCTGCTGCTGTATTTTTCAAAGCATGAATGTGGTCACCATTCACTGCCATTATATGAACGTGCATGAGCAGGACATTCCTTAAAACTTGAAAAGAGAGAAGGTCAGATGTGTTCGGTAAGTAAATAATGACAGAACTTTCACATTCGAGTCAACTAGCACTGTAAAGTCTAACTGCGTTTTGTCATGAAATGCTGCATTTGGTGTCTCGTCATTCCTTCAGTGCTTTATTTAAAGTAGTCAGACTACAATCAGACTAAAGAGCACAATCAGAATTACAATCGGAATAAAGGTGCAGCCGCATTACTCTGGATCAAGTGGAGATTTCTCAGCAGAATTATGGGTAATGTAGTTTTCACCAGCAATTCTGCTGTTAAACTTTATATAAATAATGCGTTCAAATAACGCAGCTTTATGACAAAAGCATATAGCATCGATTAACAAACAACAGAAGGTTTATAAGTTATCATTAAAAATCAGTTCCCCAGTGAAGAAAATTAATGGGGTTTTTACTTCCAGAACCGACTCAATGAGAGGATCATCCTACATTCAGACAGAAACACAGGACGGCTCCGTTCTAATTGACTTGAGAAAGATTGCAGAGATGCCCAGATGCTCACTAGTAAGTGACCTACAGCACAGAAGCATCATTCTGAGATTAATGGAGCGTATCTGCAGCGAACGGCCCACCCAGGAGCATCTGCGCGGGCCGTTCATCAGCCGTGAGTGAGTGTCAGCGCTCGAGACGGCTCCCACAAACACAAACCGACCCGCATCGACGACTGAATGAAGTTATGATCACCAATACAGCACAGTTTCCCAACGCAAACATCTAAACATTCCTAAATCATTGAAACTCATCAAAATAAAGCAAGGTTATGATTAAAATAAGAACAAATATCACAGTGAGTGTGTGTGTGTGTATATGTGTGTGTGTGAATCAAGGCTTGTGGAAACTAATAGAGTAAAACAAACTATAAGAATCTGACCTGCTTCACTTTTATTCTTCATAATGATGCCCTCGTTTCTGAAACTCAACCCGCAGAACTGGAGAACACAGAAGTGCGTGTGTGTGTGTCCATGTGAGTGACTGTATGTGTATGTGTGTGTGTGTGTGTGTGTGTGTGTGTCCGTGTGAGTGAGTGTATGTGTGTGTGTGTGTGTGTGTGTGTGCGCACCTGGTTTTTATAGAGAGAGAGAGACATCACAGTGGAGTCAGCTGTCTTAACCGTGGCTTGTGTACTGCAAACACATACCAGCTTCACTACTGTGTCTGTCACGCGACTCTATTCCCCTTTCGGGCTCTGTCTTTACATTTATTTTGAAAGATGAAGCTCGCGATTATGGTAAGGGGCGTTACATTTCCGACGAGTGCTTGCGGTGTTC